GGCCCGGTGGGCGAGGGGTTCAGTCGGGAGAGGAACCCAAAAGATGGGAGTAGCTGCCAGCGATTATGAGACCATCAGCGTCGTGGTCATCACTATCTAAAGGGGGCGGTATTGATAGAGTCCCACATCGATCGAGAGAGGGATCTGGGACCTCTATAAGAGGGAAGGTCAACCCTCCATCCTTAAGCTAGCTTTTGGGTGGAGTTAGGGTCCAAACTCTATCAGATTTCTCCACATACTCGATTAAATCTTTAATAAGATCCAGCTCATTCTGTGTTGTAAACTTATAAACTGCTGATTTTTTTAACCAGTTATCTCTCATACTGCTGATGTCCTCTTGGTACTTGTTTATACTGTAATGTGATAAAGATGGACTAGAATTTTCCCTCTTTATTGTCTCTCAGTGGGACACTGCTGGTCAAGAGCGATTCAGGACTATCACAAGCAGTTACTACCGTGGGGCACATGGAATCATCGTGGGTTACTCTTCCTCATTCCACCACTTGCTTTGACTCTTTATCAACTATAACTAATTTTGTCTGGCCTCCACTGGTAGATTGTCTATGATGTCACAGATCAAGAGAGCTTCAACAATGTGAAGCAATGGTTGAATGAGATTGATCGCTATGCCAATAACAATGTGAACAAACTCCTAGTTGGGAACAAGTGTGATCTTACTGCAAACAGAGCCGTTCCATATGAAACAGCCAAGGTATGTGCTTTAAACATTGTCTCTTTACTAATTCTCTTTCAAAAGTTGTGTAGATATCGTACTGTAAGGAATGTAATAGATTCTCTTTAAAATGCTGTCATATTGATGCAATCATAGGCTTTTGCTGATGAAATTGGGATTCCTTTTATGGAGACGAGTGCAAAAGATGCCACCAACGTGGAACAGGCTTTCATGGCTATGGCTGCTGCCATCAAGGAAAGGTATTTGTTTTACACCATTCTGATATGGCGTCTCCCCCCAAAAGTATTTGGATTCTATCTTTGGGAGCATGATGATAATAGGAGAAGTCATCATTTGATATTTTTAACCTCTCTGATTCAAAACATGATACTGATACTGAGAGTGTTGTTTCATCGGGTTTCCTTGTGGCGGATGGACAAAATTCCTAGATTAAATATGATGGTAACAGAATCGGAATTGAGCCATCCAAATGGGAGACTCCACTGTTTTTCTCCTGGATAGATGTTGTGTGGTAAGCCATAGAATCGACAAGAGAATTAATTATTTGAAAGGCAAATTAGTTTTGAGAGTCGTTCCAGGTGGGACATCGGATATGTAAAGGGATTGATAACAGGGGTTTGACCAGGACATAATATTGGAGATGGATGTTAGTAGTCTGACTTTCCATCTTCATCTGATCATGTGGTACGATTTTAGTTTGTTGACAAGAAGGAAAAGAAACAGAAAAGGTAGAACCTCCTCAACTGTGGAAGTTGATGTTTTAACCACAAAGATGTAAATGAAGTAGAATTTAATTGAGAGTATTTGGATCTGTGTTACCTTTGATCGCTGATAATTTTAGTTTCTTTTTTGTTAATCTCATTTTTGGATGGGTGGGTGGACACAGGATGGCAAGCCAACCAGCAGCGAACAACGCAAGGCCACCGACGGTGCAGATCAGAGGCCAGCCTGTTGCCCAGAAAAGCGGTTGCTGCTCCTCTTGAAGCTAAAAAATGACATAGAAGCGTGTTCTAGTTAGACCAAGACACCATTTCTCCTCTCTCTCTCCCCTGATTGCAAGCCAAACCCATTAAATCTGTGTCGCTCATCCTCCACTCCCTCGACATTCCCTTATTTAAAGAAAAAGTTTGTTTTTCTCACCTCAACACTATTCTACTATTTCATTCATTGCCTTACAGGGTATACTTGCTTTCGTGACCGTGTCTGTAACTGTAAGACATTGGTTCCTCTTTAATGATTGACTTGTTTCTCTTTGTTTGTGTCCCTCCACTTGTCTTAGCAGCTTGTCGGTTTTAAAAAATGCGTATGGATGTTTTTCTGTATTCACTTCGATGAAGGAAACACTACCGCTTTTGGTTTTTGTCTTCTAGGTAATTGAATTAAGTATTTATATAGGTCGGTAATTTGTATTTTTTTTAGGGTTTATAAATATTAGTGTAGATCATCTAGATAGTTGAATTTATTGAGCAAATGGATTAGAGTTTTTGGATTTTAAAACTAGTTAAAATAATAATAAAAAAGTTCACTTTACAGAGTATACGATTTTAAATTTATAGAATTAGAAGAGTATAATGTAAACGCAAAGTTATTTTTTTTTTATAACCAATAAGTTCAATGGACAAAGATCCAACTAATATATGTTGGAGAGGATTTTTGGTGTTCTTGCGGTTATTTTTTAGAAAATCAATTGAAATATTTATTGGATTAATCCCAAAAAAAATTCCAAATTTGTTTGTCACTTGGAAAACTAATTCTCAAACTTGCATCCTCTTATAAAAAATACCAACTTAAAAAATTTACCATTGTAAAAAACTGTCAGAATAAAAATTGACTAAGCGTTGAACACAAAAATCGTTAACTAGAGCTGATATGGCGGTACATATATGATGCCAACATATGATTGAATAAGCAGAGCTTCCATCATTAGATTTTGAAGATGTGAAGACTTCTTCACTAGGGTTTCGATAGCTCCATTACAGGTTGGAACAAGAAATATCCCTTACTGTATCCCGATGTTTTGGATTCATCAAGCCATCGAAAATTTTGTTTCGGGCTGTAATGCATTCGCTCATTTGACTGTCATGAATTTCTAACTTCCAAGCTATACCTTCTAGAGATCCCAATTGTCAGAGCCTCCGAATTCGTCAATTCCTTTGATTTTAGCGATCTTCGAAATCTGCTTCAACCTATTCGGAATCTCATCAAAATCTGAATCGAGAAACTCCTTTAGGTCTTGAGATACGACTCGATACGATACGTTTCTTCTCCACTGAATCGGAGACCAGTTCGACAACATAAACAATGGCTCGAAGAGCTTCATCAATCGTTTCCTCTTCCTTTCCATCGACGACGTACTGTAAACCTGTAAATGTCATAGTCCGAATCTCGGAAAACTACCCCCTAGATCAACCATTTTTTTCTTCTCTGAGGAAAATACAAAACCTTTTTTCCCCAATTAAGAGGGTTCGTTCAAAATTACAACAAACAAAAACCAGACAAAACCCTAGAAACTCCATGATTCAGCTGCAAAAATCCAAGTTTCGGAAAACCCAGAAAAAGGGTTCACCAAGAAAAAAATAACGAGGATGAGTTTCGAGGACTCGGAATTGGGACATCCTCACGATTTGGAGCGGTTTCGACGGAGCAAGTAAAAGTGGGAAAAGTTTATTTTCATTTTTTTAATTGAATTGATTGAACTGGTCCGGTTTAATACCGGTCCAAATTAAACTTTAGATTTGCTGATGTGGCATGAAAATATGACGTGGCATAGTATGTGTATTGCCACACCAGCCTCATCTAACGGTGTTTATCATCAACCTCGGTCACAGCCTTTCACAAGTTTAGGTATTCTAAATTATAGGAGGGTGTAAGTCTGGGAATTAATTTTCCAGTGTCAAACAAGTTTGAGAATTTTTATGGGATTAACCTTTATTATCAACTCTGAAATCATTAAGTTTTTGCTAGATTGTTTTTTTTATGGAATCAACGTAAAATTTTTATTTAGAAATAGAAATATTCATTTGTGAAAGCAAATTTTTTATATCTAACAATCATTAAGCTTTTTTAGAATATCGTTCTTTTGTCATTGATAGCGATAAAAATAGATTTTGGAAATCCGAAATTTCGGAATACTGTTTCGTTTAAGTCTTGATTGTTTCGTATCTTGGTATTGACCTCTAATACTCCATCTTACAAACCGAACAGTAAAATCGAAACTAAGACCTTGAATGGTGGGAGTTTTTGGATTTTAGAATCCAAAAATAAAAAAAACAACATTCAAGTTTTTACAAAATTACTTTGAAAATTTGAAAAAATCAATGAAAAATATTTTTTGAGTTTTCAAATATTATAAAATCCAAAAGCCAAAAACCAAAAACTAAAAACCAAAATCCAAAAACTAAAACCAAAAACTCAAAATAAAAGCCATCTCCATTCAAAGCCTAAATATCCATCTGATTCTAGGGTACCGCCGATGTTAAGAAGAGAAAGTACAACAAAAAAAGGACTTGCATCCTGAAGGATATATGCTCTATAGCCATTTGACCGAAAATGGCAATCCATGTACGAAACCACCAGAAAAGAAAAAACTCGATTCACCGTGAAACTAACTAACGGTTTCTTGCCGACTCGAGTGTTATGAAGATGCAGCGCATGAGAGAGAGAGAGAGAGAGAGAGAGAGAGAGAGAGAGAGAGAGAGAGAGGATTTTAATATAAAGATGTGAGGATAATATATATATATATAAAGGAAAGGAGAAAAATCGTGAAACCTTATGGTAAAGGGAGCCTTATATGATATTTAAGAAAAATGAAACTTTTTGTGGCTTTATTTTCTATTCATCAAGTGACCAATTTAATTTAATTTAATTTGTACGCTGCTCATTGACTTGCTTTATTTCATTATTTCAATTGAGTCTTATAATTAATTACAATTATATATCGGCTTTAAATGATAATGTTGAACGAATGAATTTAAAATATATATTTTTTTGCTAAAACTTTATATTGGGGAATGACCAGAAAATTTTGACCAGTGGCATTTGCCATTTGACGGGTAGGGTTCAACCAACCACTAGTCAAATATTTGTCTGTTAGATTTTAAATTAAAAACTATACGTCTATAACAATTATGCGTAGTTAAGGTTAAAATCATAGCAATAAGTTTATACCAATTCCCAACGCATATACGGTTAAAAATCATTTCCAGCCTAATTTATTTTTCTCCATTCTTACATCTATAAATGGTTTATATTTAAATTTTTAGATTTTAATTTTTTTTTTTAAATTTGAAAACACAAATATTTGATGCAATTTTAATTAAATGATGTTGAATCATTCTACGTTAGAACACTTTCAATTATCCATTCTAAATTTCTATTTAGAAATAGAAATATTCATTTGTGAAAGCAAATTTTTTATATCTAACAATCATTAAGCTTTTTTAGAATATCGTTCTTTTGTCATTGATAGCGATAAAAATAGATTTTGGAAATCCGAAATTTCGGAATACCGAACAGTAAAATCGAAACTAAGGCCTTGAATGGTGGGAGTTTTTGGATTTTAGAATCCAAAAATAAAAAAAACAACATTCAAGTTTTTACAAAATTACTTTGAAAATTTGAAAAAATCAATGAAAAACATTTTTTGAGTTTTCAAATATTATAAAATCCAAAAGCCAAAAACCAAAAACTAAAAACCAAAATCCAAAAACTAAAACCAAAAACTCAAAATAAAAGCCATCTCCATTCAAAGCCTAAATATCTATCTGATTCTAGGGTATCGCCGATGTTAAGAAGAGAAAGTACAACAAAAAAAGGACTTGCATCCTGAAGAATATATGCTCTATAGCCATTTGACCGAAAATGGCAATCCATGTACGAAACCACCAGAAAAGAAAAAACTCGATTCACCGTGAAACTAACAAATCGTGGAAAGCTGAACACAATCAGAGTTATTTACAGTTATCTGATTCTAGGGTATCGCCGATGTTAAGAAGAGAAAGTACAACAAAAAAAGGACTTGCATCCTGAAGAATATATGCTCTATAGCCATTTGACCGAAAATGGCAATCCATGTACGAAACCACCAGAAAAGAAAAAACTCGATTCACCGTGAAACTAACAAATCGTGGAAAGCTGAACACAATCAGAGTTATTTACAGTAAGAACATAAAAAAAAAAAAAAAAAAAAAAAAATTGGATCACAGAGTCACGCTAGCAGAGAGAAGAAATATGCACTGGACCCCCAAAACAAACAATCTACTTGGTAGCGTCGGAGCGGGAGCATACGGCTTCAAGAGACTTGGTGAAACAGGTAAGAGAAGCTTGTCAAAGCTTGGAACACATTTGGCAACCCTGTCTGGAGGTTGTTCAGTGTCATCGCTCTAGTCACCTCCACTGCCTTGGTGTGCCTCAGCATCTCTTCCTCCAAGCGCCTCTGATACACGTCCAACTCAGACTTCGTTTCTGAGAGCAGATCATGTGCATCTCAAGCTTGTCCATTCTCAGGCCCTGCACCATGAAGATTGATCCCGACCGTGGAGTATGATTGGTAGTACTTTCTCTCTATGTTCCTAATAGCGGAAGCCTTCTTCTCGAGCTGTTTTGATGCTGCCTCAGAGTGTTTCTTCATCTTCAGCTCCTCGGTTTGTTTTATAGATATGACATGGACAACTTTCAGGAAGCTCTTGATGGCCTCTGAGGCTACTGTGCCCGGAACACGTTCAAGGCTGAGCTTCTACTCATCGCAGAACACATATGCATCTGATTGCTCAGGGTGGGGGTCTGCGTTTGCGTTTTCATTGACAAGTGAAAGAAGGTGAGTTTGAACCAGCCATGGAGTGCACATATGAAGTCACTTTGGAATTTTATGAGGCGACAGAAGCTGGAGTGCCACAAGGAGACAGCTGACTCAAGATCACGAGTCGCTTGGCGGTGCAGTTCAGATGTTGAGTCACTTTTGTTGTCTGCTTGGTTGACAAGGCCCTGGACTTGTTGCACGATGTTGTTCTGGATCTCGTGAAACTCATGCATCGACTTCCACATGTACATGAGCCTGCAATGCAGTGCAAGATGGTAAGAGACTCTCTCTACATTCCCTTCATTTACTTACGTAGGGAGAAACGAAGATGACACGAGCATTATGTTAAGGTTCAGAATCTGAAACTCAACTTTCCAGCACCAATCGAGCCTTTATTCCTCACCGAAAACCTGAATACAACTTTGGATGATCTTGATTTATGAGAGGATCCCAACTCTCATTCCCCAAACAAACCCTAACCCTTTCTCAAACTAATACTAACTAACTAATACTAACAGCCAAAACAACCCATACTAACTATAGTCCAGATTCAATGAATCTACATAACCCATACATCTATCACATTAATATCTCAAGATGCCTAACTCTATTTCTTCGTGACATGGTTAAAACCTTTATAGAACAAGGATAACAAATGGGGAAAGAAATCGGTCTGAACATAACTAGAAAATATCGCTGAATTACGACCCAATCAACACAAAATTTGATGCGTGAAAGGAATGCAGGCCATTTTTTGACCAATGTATCGTAATCATTCTCCAAAGAGACTTATGTTTAGCATCCAAACAAAGGAATCTGCAGATGGAGAAAGGGCTTTGGCAAGTTGTAATATTGAGCAGAATATCATTATGATTTACCCACTAAGTTGAACAATGCCGTAGTAGTTGGAGCATAACAGCGGTTAAGAGTTTGATGGTTTTGAGAAAGACCAGTCTAGAACACGGGGTCAAATGATTCAAACCAATTTTAAAGAAGAATCCCATTTGTCATTGTGGATTGTCAAATGTAATGTAAAAATATAAGCAGCTTATATGATGATAGAGAAAGACTAACCCCTGAGAGAGTTGGACGAGTTGTGGAAGAAGGTGGGTGTCACGGAGACAGAGAATGGCGGAAGATGTGGTTGAGACAGCCTGGGAAGTGACAATGATCAGCAACTGCAGTCTGGTAATAGAAGCTTTGGTCTTGTCGAGCTTCGAATCCTGCTCTCCTTTGTATTCCTGACTCCGCAATGCACACAGCTTTCTCCTGTCCTTCATCTTCACTCCTTCTCTCGCCTGAATTTCCCACAAAGTAATTAATGAATGATTGGTGGGCATAAAGTGGGTGAATGGCTGCAAAAATTTAAAAGTACCTTGACGTCCTGGAAGAGCTTCTTCTCCCAAGCCAAGAGGCGGTCGAGAATGGAAGAGAGGCTCTTGGGAATGCCTCCTTCGTCAAGTGTAGATGTGTCGAGTTTGTACTTCACGGCCAATGGCGGCTTCAAGGTCCAGCTAGAGCTCAGGTTGCTTGATACACTGCTCGAGTGATACACCGTCTCTGCATTCATTAATTTCAGATGACATGTTAAACAACACGAGTTTCCAAAAAAAAAAGAGAGAATAAAACACGTCTCACTCTTGAGCTGTGCTCGGTCGATCTCGAGCATGACAGAGACCTGGTCCCCCACCGAGGCAGCCTTCTCAAAGTACTCCTGAATGGCGATCACCCTCTCCTCCAGATTTGTGACATGGTCTGCTTTCTCTTTCCCCACGTGCTCCTGCCTCTGCTTTTCGAAAGGATCTGGCCTCGTCGTCTTCATCTGACGAAGTGGCCGCACTGATCACACGGGTTTCACATAGGTTTTCTAACATCATATACATCGGTTTGGCTCGCCTTTTAGGCATTCTAGGATGTTAGTTGGCCACAATTTGGGCTCTTTTCCTTCTATATTTTGCATGTCAACATTCGCGGGAATTTTCACGGGATATAAGACAAAAATAACACAATTTGGAGGACCCAAGAAGGTTCAGAGAATTCAGGTGGGCCGCTCGTTTTTATGCGCGGGCGCCCAAAATTCATGCTCTGAAAAATGAGCGACCCGCCCATTTTAATGAGCGACCACCTGAAAATGAAAAACGCAGAATTGGAAATGCTCAGAAAAAATGAGTGACCCGCCCGTTTAAATGAACGAACGCCTGAAAATGAAAAACGCAGAATTGGAAATGCTCAGAAAAAATGAGCGAACCGCCCGTTTTAATGAGCGATCGCCTAAAAATGAAAAATGCAGAATTGGAAATGCTCAGAAAAAATGAGCGACCTGTCTGCCAAAGTGAGTGACCGCCTGATTTTGTGATGTAGAGAAAAAAATGAGCGACCCGCCTGCCAAAATGAGCGACCGCCTGGATTGCTGACGAAGAACAACAGTGAGGGGTCGGCTTACTAAATGTGCGACCCGCCAGAAAATGAAACTTCAACATTTGGCCCAAAGAAGAAAGGCCCGTTAGAGAAGAAGAAAACCCTAATTTTTCTATCATAAAAAAGAAATGAGGCAAGGGAGAAAAGGGGGTTTGGCCACACATTGAAAAAGAGAACTTGGAGAAGAAGTTTGGGAGCTTAGAGAGCAAGAGAAGCACAGAGAAGGAGAAGAAGAGAGAGAATCCACCATTGAAGACCATCCTAAGCTTTCTCTCTCCTTCTTCTTCATGTTTCATTTTGCTTTTTCTTGTTTTCCTCTTTTGAACATAAAGTAGAAACCTAGTTGTGGGTGAGAGATCTCCACTTTTGTATGGATACCTATGTTTAATCTATGGTGTTTATGAGTTCTTTTCTATGGGTTTGGTATTTTATACTTAATGCTATTAAACTTTGGCGACCGCTGACATTACCCTTTAATCAAAAAGCCAAACTGATATTACAAAACTAATTTGTGAACTTACCATTGCATCATTGACACCATATGTTACGCCCTATTGTTCCTGCAGAAGAAGAGCATGTTAGTGGTTATACAAGGACGTCATGTCCATGGTAGGTACATATGCTAAGATGGAGTTTTACTTACCTGCATCACATTTCTCTCTTCAAATCATCAAAAACAACTCCAATCGCTCTATCCTGCCAATACATAACCCTCGCATTTGGAGTATATACGAGCAACCTTGGTTTTCTATAAACGTTCATGTGAACAAGAGAAAAGATATTGAAAAAGAGGATCACGAGAATTGAAAGAGGATTATCGTGCAAAGAGTTTGTGCTAGTCTCCATGCGACCATTAAAAGATAGTTGCATTTGCCCCAATTATGTCCCCTAATAGATTGGAGTTTTCTATAACAGCAGCCTTCTTACTTGTTACCTGGCCTGGAGAAGAAAATAAATTGAGTTTTGGTTAAATATCCTGATGACTAGTTCTTTCAACTTACTATCACGGCAGGGAAACGGGGTGCATCCCATCCTGCAAATGAAACAAACGGAACAGGAGCAATTCCATCAAAGAAGAACCAATGAACGTCTAGAATTAGTGGATTAGCAGTGACCAAATGTTGAGACAACAAAGAAAGCAACCGAAGAACCAAAAAAAGCTAAATAACAGAGAAAGCAGGACACATGGAGAGTTAAGCAGGAAGGGATCTGCAACTGAAAATACGTAGTGTCAAAGCCAGCTCGAAGGGACAATATCTGTTTCTTTGTTTAAGCTGTTCCAAAAATTGGAAGAGAAGCTTGAGCAAAACAGCCAATGGGATAGTAACCTCAACAATCCAAAGCCGCAGAGTCAGCTTGTTTAAAAATGGTGGAAAACAATCAACAAAAAGTCTTACCCCGATTGATTATCTGCGAAAGCGATCTTCTAACAAAAAGTTGAGCGTAGTCGTCTTTGATGTATATCTCTTTTTGACGCAGGACATTCAAATTTCATAGCAGCTAATTAACATTTCCAGAAACCTTGGGCGATGCTCGAGCATCCACAGCCATAAACTCAAAACTAAACGGCAACACCGAAGCAGAACGCCAATTCCTGGGGAATACGAAGAAATGCAAAAAGTGCTAGAGGGAGAGATGGCGTACGATTTTCTGGCGGAGGAATCGTCATTAGGCGCCTGAACCGCCGCTCTGTTGCTGCTAGACTCCGCCGTTTGATTCGCCGTATACTCCGGTGACGACGACGCACACTCCGTCCAGAGATTTTGAATAACCGTTATCGACGACGGCTCCGGGGTAAAATCCTCTGATTCTGAGCCCAAGCCTCCAGAGGGTCTGAAGTTGGATCTCGGCCCGTCTGAAGTTGGATCACGGCCCATTAGATTTTACGATATTATACGACTTAGACACGACACTATCATTTCCCGACCCCCGCAAAAAAGAGAGAGCGAACTCGAATTCCCCCTCTCTGCCATCCTCCCCTCTTCCTCTTCGAAATCGAAACCCTAACACCATTTTTTCGGGACAAGTCCCTGGATGCTTCTGAGGCCATCCATTTTCTGATTCTCTTCAACTCTCCTATTTTATTGTTTTGGGGCGAGCGATCTCTGAAGATGGATATCGAACAGAAGCAGGCGGAGATTATCGATCAGTTCGTTAAACGAGCTTCTACTTGCAAAGGCGAGGCACTTGCACCTATCGTACTTGAAGCGACGTCGAATCCGTCGCTCTTCGCGTTCTCCGAGATTTTGGCTGTACCCTCCGTTGCCGAGGTGTGTTGGAATAGACCCCTTCTGTATTTCAGTTGGTTTGTTGTTCGATTTCCTGTGGGGTTTCGCCTGGGTCAGGATCGGACATGCTTCTCAGTTTTTGTCTTAGGGGTCTAAGTTTGGTTGTAGTTTTGTCATTGATTTGTCCCAAATGAATACATTCCGGTTATGGTTGCTGTTCACACGTCACGTCTGGGAGAATTGATGTGCTTTCTCATGTATTGCGTATGCTTTCAGTGGGATGGTGATGTGCTATAGTTTGCTAATATCGGTGTTGCATAAATCAGCAGTAATTGTTCCTTCGGCGAACTGAGTTCTAGGAGTTTGAAATCTTAAAATTTACTGCTGGAATTCATATGTTCATATAATTTTGTTTAGTTTCTCAAACTATTAAAAATGTTTTGCAGCTCGATGGAACGTCAAATTCTGTATACCTGGATGTGCTACGGTTATTTGCGCATGGGACCTGGGCTGACTACAAGTGTATGTGCATAGTCTTGACTCTTGAGTTATTCATTTCGTTGTGCCCGTGGAAAGTGAGCAGTTATGGGTGGTGTTCATTCATCACATGCATTTCTTGCTTTCTGCACGGTACTATATGATTTGTGGACAAAATCTTCTCATTGCATCTATTCTTAAACCTTGTCAAATCTAGGCATTACTGGGCGTATTCCTGAATTGGTTCCTGATCAAGTTCTTAAGCTAAAACAGCTCACTGTTCTTACCCTGGCTGAGACAAACAAGGTATATTCTGCTTTCAGGATCTGTTGCCTGGCATTACTGGGCGTATGCCAATGCTTGGTTGGTTGGTTGGTTTGTGGCTTGTTCCCTTTCTTGGTTTTGTTTTTTGTTGCAACTCTTTTTTGCCCGAGTGATAGTTGTTTATTGGACTTGTGATATCTTAATCAGGCTGACTCATCTCTATATTCCGCTTTTTTATTTCATTTTGTGGAAACTCAGCCTGAATTCACCTTGCTTAGGGAACCCTTTTTAGGCTAAACCCGTGTAGTTTCCTAGCATGTGCACTTCTATATAAACGTGTTTGTGGATTTATTTCCAGGTATTGCCCTATGATAGTCTGATGCAGGAATTAGATGTTACAAATGTACGTGAACTCGAGGACTTTCTTATCAATGAATGTATGTATGCGGTGAGTATTCCAACTGAAGTACCTCTTTTTTTCTGAATAATCTGCGGTTTTGTTTTCAATAAAAAATTAGAAGTTTCCTAGACATCTAACTGCAGCAATGCAGAGAGGTACATACAGCAGCATGGTGCTGACTTTTTGAAATTTCCAGGGTATAGTAAGAGGAAAGCTGGACCAGTTGAAAAGATGTTTTGAGGTATGAGCTGTGACCCGGTTTCTGAGTAAAATAACCACCATGCTGCTTCTTTACACTTCCAGTTCCACTTAGATGCTTATTAAAGTATCGTATTCCTGGTAAACTGTAGGTTCAGTTTGCGGCTGGTAGGGATCTAAGGCCAGGACAACTTGGGAATATGATGCTCACATTGTCAAACTGGTAGCTTTTATGTTCTAGTCTTTTTTGCCTTGAACCCTAGGATTTTCTCTACTCTAATTACATCAGAAGAACTTTTACATGATGCATGAATCTAAAGTAAAGATGTTGAGCTCTTTTGCGCTACCGTCCGGCTTTTATGTGGGTATCCTTTTTTCTGGAAGAAAAAAAATCATGTTGGTTTAGGCTTAAAATTCTGTTTATTTATCTCACAACAATGATGTGTAGGTTGAACACGTCAGAGAATCTACTTGTTTCAATTCAAGAGAAGATAAAGTGGGCAGACAAGATGGGTGAGTTTGAAAAGAAACATCGGAAGGAAGTTGAAGAAAGGGTGGAAGAAGTGAAAAAGTCTCTTTCCATGAAGGTCAGTTGACCCTAGCTGTGTGGTTTGGCATCCAAGGTTTTGTGGGTAAATCTGTATGTCATAGTTAATCACATATTCTTATGGTTGACATTGCTGTAAAGTGTCTTCAAGATTTTAAAATAGAAGGCTGCTGTATTATGCAGAGCCAACGAAAGATGTGGAACTGGGGTGTATTTGCCCGTCTTTGTCAAACTTGATAATAGGTCGTGATAGGATATGAAAGATTTTTATTATGCTCAATGGCGGGGCATGTTGGTCGATGTAGTCTTACTTACGTTGTGGCAGAAGTTGCACACTGTGGGCAGGCAGATGTTGACCTCGGAGGGCACGAGGAGATCTTTGCTGAACCAAGTGGAGTGATGGATTACGAAGAAGATAGAAGCCGACCCAAGAGGTAAAACTTTCTTGGCTAATTAAGTTAATGGAGAGGATTCACCTTTAGGAGCTTAGTTTGTGAAAGGAGAGTGTGCGGTGAGGATTGTTTTAGGACATGGAATAATATTTTGTGTAACTTGGGGAGCAGTACAGGGATTATAGCAAACCTCCACGGTTTATTCGCTGAATAGTACTTTTTTTGTGTGTGTTTACAGGAGGAGGCATCCAGTAACTTAAAACAAAGAGCCATAGACACATTCCTTTTGTTCAGCCTGAGGTGATGATGATATAAGTTTTTTTTTTTTGCGGGAAGGATGTTAAACCCTTTCGGCTGCCAACTTTTGTTGTTTGGGGGCCTCTTTTCACATATCTCAAGACACGCGTTTCTCTCTCAATCCAATCCATTATGTCAGTTTAAAAAAAAAGGAGCAAAAGGGGAAGTCACCCAGGGCGTTACGTGGTTTGATTTCCCGATTCATGCCTTTGTGATTGAACCATGTTTTCTCTGAATGACGACATGATTACTTCATGCAAACCTCGATTTGATTGCCCCAAAGAATTGTCAGGATACATATCTTAAGTTTGTAAAAGTGGTTGTTGCCGTTGGGATACGCAGATTTTGACCAATATAATAATAAAAGAATTGTAAGGAGTGGTTTAGTTTAGGGAGGGGATTATTGCGTTTCATGGAAACGTGTAGAAGCTTAGATATTGATCCATCTTTTTCATGTTTTGAAAGAAAGAAGAAATATATAAAAGATCAGCATTCCCGCAGAAACAGCATGGCCCAGTTCGTTCATTGCGGGTGGGGGTCTTGAATCTTCTTGGCGTTTTGTTAATGTTGTGTTGCTTCATCGTTTACTCGCCGCCGCCTGTTCTTCACCCTCGCCGGTTCCACTCCCCCCGTACCGATGAGGTGTGGGAAGTTGAGCTTCGCTTTCGACCCCCTCATCTCGAATGCCGCTCTGTCGTAAGCCACCGCCGCGTCCTCCGCCGTCTCGTATGTCCCCAGCCAGATCCTTGCCCCTTTCTTCTTCGGGTCTCTTACCTCCGCCGCGTATTTCCCCCATGTTCTTCTCCTCACTCCCCTGTAGCTTCCCCCTCTCCTCGGCCACGGTGTTTCCATAACCCCGGCTTCCTCTTGCAGATTGCCTGACGATGATGTGGGATTCTCCGAATCATCTTCCAGCAGATGACGCCGAATCGATTCCAGAACTTGTGATGTGAGCTCTCCCTCCATTTTTCTCCTCCTTTCTTCTTCAATCTGCTCCCGGATATATATACACACATGCCTGCATTGCATTTTGTTCTTGTGAATTTTACTATTCCTCGATTAGATTCGCGTTTTTTTTTTATAATTGTCAAATCTTTAACAGACTACAGAGGAATCTTGCGCATTTTTCACGCTATGGAAAACGAGACTTGTGTATTAAAATGACCCACGGATGGGAGTCTGGGAGATGTGTTTAAAATCCATTATGTTCTTGCTTTCCATATTTCTACTCATATGTTTATTGCACAAAGAGCTTGGAGGCATCAGGGCCATTTTTAGCCATCCATTCTCATCCTCTTGCTTATCTTTCATCTTGATTCACCCCAATGCAATTGATTTCCATTGGCACCATATTTGCAAAGAATCGTTTGCCCTGTTCTTTTGTGTGATATTTGGATACTATGGCTTGTGTGTTTGTGCTATGTTTGCTTCACAGATTCCAGTCATCTTTGGAAAAACAGAACAGTGTTAAGCCAGTTAGACACTTACTTTAACGAACTCAATAATTTTGATTTGGCAGCTTTTATTTTGGAATGAATTTATTCAATTTTCAATGTGATCAACTCAACTACTCGGCTGTGTCTACTTAGTTGCTTAATTTAACTTATGAGAAAAGCTTCATGAGTAAAATGGTTTAAATTATCATCCAACTCTGCAATCTTTGTTCCTGGTTGTTCTTTCCTCTTTTTCTCTCCGCAGGATAGAATAGTTCTTGTAAAAGATTAATAGTATCCCAAAAAGTGTAAGGCTTCCATATCTCCACATTTTTGTTGTCTCTCCACATTTTTGTTGTCTCTATAATCTATATTTACAGTTAAAATATACAAAAGGAAATAAGATTGTTGGTCATCATCCTTGTATTATGCATATGAATAAACATATTGAGCAGTAGCTCAATGGAAATCTGTTCACAACATTTTAATGCTAGTTACCTGTTTGTTTCTCTTCATGATTTGTTGTAGTTGTTGTATATCAGCCAGGAATATGGAGGAATTCAGGCAGATCCATAGCGTCGAGTTATCTGTTAGGGAAATGGGAGAAATGCAATCAAAATCAGTTCAGATAAGTGTCTGTTTCTTCCCTGGACACAATAGTTAAGTGGGATCAAATTATGTTGAAACCTGAAGTTGTACTATTTTTCTTTTAATTTACACCATCTGAAATATAGCAATGGATACTGGCAGGCATCTTTGTCTTGAGATAGCTGAGTAATCCGTTGCAGAATTTGTTGCACCGTGGGACTTCTTTTGGATGTCACCTTATACGTTTTCAGATGGATTGTGGATATTAACTTAATTATGATTCAATGAGCATCTTCATTTGGTATTTATATTTCCTCTTGAAGAAAATTCTGGCACTTGTTGTTGATAAGGCTTGTGCATAGTTTAAGTAGTTAATACCCTACCTCAAGCATGAGACGGTGACTACTACGCTTGCTTTTATATGGAAATAGCCTTTTCTTTGTTATTTTCCCTTTTTGCTGCTATTACTTTTCAATGCCACGCTTATACTGCCTCATCTGCTTGACACATTGCCATCCTTATCTTTGTAGAACAGAACATGGTTTGGTGAACAGTGGCACGATGGCAAATCTCTTTGACTTTAACTGTTTTAATATTTTGTAGTTTCACCAGTGTCACACTCATTGAATTTAATCTCCAAGTTTTGTTCATTTGCGCATCACATAGCATGGGCAAATTATTGATAAGCATAAGACTACAAAATGGGTATTATTATGAGAAGATTGTAACATTATCGCCCGTCCACCTTGCACTTTCCTGGCCCCTCTTACTGGATGCTGAAATTGAACAAGAAAAAGGGAAAGACAAAAGCAGCATAAGCTGATGTAATGCATTGGAATCTGTTATTGCTATGCTCCATGCCCTCAACAGATACAAAAGGAGCGAAGAATTCAAATCACTATAAGGAAAAGAGGATTGCTTACCTCTTGCAGTTGGTGGCCTTAGAGATGGGAATGTTAAACGTCACGCCACACTTGGCAGGGAGGGTAGATGCTGCGTCTTCCTTAAAGTTTGGGTAGTTTTGTGCAGCCAGCTTAAGGCATTCACATGCGACTTGCCTGTCGGTCGTGGTCGGGGTGATTGCCTCTATGTTCCTCACTCCAGCACAACATGCAGCAGATGGAGAACCTCCGTTTTGGAGATACACGATGCAAGGAACCAATGACCGATCGACCTCGCCGCAGGTAATGGCAGCCTGTGTTGGATGCGTCATGAAGCTTTGAAACATAAAAACAAGAACAACCAAACTGGGTATGATCACTGCTCCCTTCATTTTGTTTTTCTTTTGATTTGGGAATATGCTGTTAAGCTAAAATGCTTTGAATGCTGAGTGCTTTTGTTTCTGTTGAAGTGGATACTGGACTCCATGGTATGCATGTATTTATAGTGATTTCTAATGTTGGATTTTTATCCTTGCCTTGGAAAACACAAAGGGTTGGTTACGATGGGGTAATGTTGTTTTCTTTTGTCACAATTTTCAGTTTCTCTTTTGCAGTTTCTGTTTGAAACGATAAGCCTGAGCTGATCTAATCATTTCTTTTCTTTTGGATATTTTAAATGCATTTATTAGTAGAGGTAAGAAAAAGGTTCAGGATTGATGCCAGCACTTAGCAACAAGTAAATAGTTTGTCTCTCAATGTATTGGGTGGATTATTGCTCGTAGGCAACAGTTTTGCTCGGTGATACAGATTGGCTTTGAGCTGATGGTACTCACAACAAAAACTAATAGGATAAAAGGAATACTAACTGTTCTGTGAGATTATCAATATGATGAAGTCCTGAGGTGTACCTAATTAATTGCCTATGCTGACAAATGAGAAAGTTTCTTGAATGAATAACATTGTTAAGTTTGTTTTGCAGTGCTAGGTCCCATTCGCCATGTTTCTCTTATCCCCCCGTCCCCTTACCTCCTCCAATAATTTTTATGAAAGATTAACATAGGCTAAAAGCCTGAAGAAATTATGCTTGTAATTTAACGAGTATGAAGATCTTTTACCCAGGCAAATGGCTTAAATATGGGATAAGAGAGCGGTGAGAAACGAAGATGACACGAGCATTATGTTAAGGTTCAGAATCTGAAACTCAACTTTCCAGCACCAATCGAGCCTTTATTCCTCACCGAAAACCTGAATACAACTTTGGATGATCTTGATTACCTCTACTCTTATTCCGCTTTCAACGAAATCACGGCTTTTCTCGTTTTCGTCCAATTGATGCTCGATTACCACATTGGAGCGGCTAGTATCTCACGAAGCCTCGCGAGCTATGTTGTTGCTCTTCTTCAGCTCTTCCCAGTTTTCAAGGACATCATTCCGAGCTGGTTGGCAAGTGGCCAAGAACTATTGGGTGGAATGCTTTCTATTAATATCCTCGCTCCGATTTTACTAGCACTTTTGACCCTCATTCTATGCCGTGGGGTGGGAGAGTCTTCTACTGTTAACTCCGTCATGACTGCAACGAAGGTCAGGTGATCCTCTATGATTTTATGATTTTTGCTTGGACAAAGGTAAACCTCATTTCTCAGTTTTCATACCTCTGTAGGTCGTGATTGTTATCGTCGTGATCTGTGCCGGTGCTTTTGATATTGATGTGGAAAATTGGTCTCCTTTTGTTCCAAATGGGTTCAAAGCAGTACTAACGGGGGCAACTGTAGTAGCGGTTCATGAAACCATAGACCCTCTCCTTGAAATTCTAAACAAGAAGATTGGAGACATCCTATTTCTCTTTCCACTTAACATAGACAAGATATAGATGCTTGTTGGTCTTGAACTTCATATTATGTTGATGCATGAACATATATTACCGGAAAGTGTAGCTCTTATTTCCCTTTTCTGATGTATTTTTTCTTGGGTGGAGTAATTTTAGGTTGTGTTTGTTGTTCTCGACATGTGACTTGATGTCATGATTTGTTATAGGTGTTATATCAATATTTAAGAGCACCTGATGGGGGATAGGGTAGGGGTTCAATAAAAATCATTGTGTGGCAATTTGATGCAAGTTATGTGTTAATTTTGGTTCACTCAATAGTTGCACTAGGGTCAACATATGCTGAAAGATATTGGGTATGTAATTTGCTAGTTGGAAACAGAGAGTTGGACGTAAAGATTCATGAGGTGAGTGTGAAATTTGTTGCATTGCGGGAATCCTCTTAAATGTTATATCTGATTTTGATGATGTTTCCTTTCATATTGTGTGGTTATGTGTTACTGCCACATTTGATTGACATATCCCATCCTTATCTTAGGAACAACTAAATGTTGCTGGGTCAAGTATGGTGCAGAGAGTAAATTCTTTGGTTTTAGCTGCAGCCATATTTCATGGCTGCATCCATTTCAACCTTGTCAAGATTTTCACTTGATTCATTACATGTCACACACAGCCATAACATTACAAATGGGTATTTATTCTACAGAAGATACGGAATATGTCAAAAGAGGGCTTTATTCTCCATACTGTTCTTTTCCAGGCGCCACTCTTACTGGATGCTGAAATGAAGAGGAAAAAGGAGGGCAGTACTTGATTAGTACTGAAGAAATGTTGCTTTAAGTAGGAAAGAGGAAGGGAAAATGAAGAGGGAAGCACTTGATGCTGCATCTTCCTTGAGGTTTGGGCTTGTCCAAGGCATTCACAAGCTTCTTGCCTATCGGAGGTGGATGGAGTGATGGCCTCTCTATGTCTATCACAACATGAAGCAGAGGGAGGTCACCACGGTTGATGGCAGGCCTGTGTCATGATGGCAACCAAACTGGTCTGGGTACCACCACCATCCTTCCCTTCATGTTTTTCTTCTTATATTGTTATGGGATATGCTTTGTGTGTTGTGTGGTTTGTTTCTGTGCTTAGACTCCATCGCATCTGCCTTTGTTTGTAGTTTGGCACCTTGTTCTTCCCTCGAAAAGCGCAGAGGCTAGATGACTTTCCATTTTTTTTCTGGATAGTGGATATCATGATTCATGAGGCGGTTGGGGGAAATATGAAAGTACAAGGTGTTAGAAAACTTTGGGGGATAGGTGACATAACTTGTCTTTGTCAGCAACACCGTGTAAAGGCCCAACTAGCGACAGTTACTCCAAAAGCATGAAGAAAATTGAGCGTTAAATCCATGAGGCGTTGTATCATTACCACTTTTGTTTTTTGATGTTTGTCTTGTCTTGTGCTCTTGTTACGCCAATGGGCTTCACTATGAACAACAATAAAGCCCATTTGTTCGGATGGGCTTAGAATTTCACGAAAAGCTCGATAATCTCGGCCTAAACGCCATCTTCTTGGTCGTCATCAGATCATTGTTGGTTGAATCGTCGCCATGGGAGGTCAGGAGCAACGTCTTTCTTCCCCGACATGGTTCTCCCATCTCTCTTCCTCTGCTCGCCGAGTCAAATCTCTCTCCCCCATCTCCGATGCCCACGAAACTCCTGTTCGCTCCTCCTTGGTTCGCCGCCTCGGCCTCTTCGACCTCATCCTTCTCGGCGTCGGCGCTTCCATCGGCGCCGGCATCTTCGTCGTCACCGGCACCGTCGCTCGTGATGCTGGACCCGGTCTCTCTCTCTCTCTTTCTATTTTTCTCCAGTTCCCGTTCTTTGACTTTATCATCCGTCATTACAAGTTTCCATGAAATCAATGTCACAGGAGTCACCGTCAGTTTCTTGATCGCCGGAGCTTCCTGCGTCCTGAACGCCCTCTGTTATGCTGAGCTGGCATCTCGTTTTCCGGCCGTTGTAGGGGGAGCCTACCTCTACTCTTATTCCGCTTTCAACGAAATCACGGCTTTTCTCGTTTTCGTCCAATTGATGCTCGATTACCACATTGGAGCGGCTAGTATCTCACGAAGCCTCGCGAGCTATGTTGTTGCTCTTCTTCAGCTCTTCCCAGTTTTCAAGGACATCATTCCGAGCTGGTTGGCAAGTGGCCAAGAACTATTGGGTGGAATGCTTTCTATTAATATCCTCGCTCCGATTTTACTAGCACTTTTGACCCTCATTCTATGCCGTGGGGTGGGAGAGTCTTCTACTGTTAACTCCGTCATGACTGCAACGAAGGTCAGGTGATCCTCTATGATTTTATGATTTTTGCTTGGACAAAGGTAAACCTCATTTCTCAGTTTTCATACCTCTGTAGGTCGTGATTGTTATCGTCGTGATCTGTGCCGGTGCTTTTGATATTGATGTGGAAAATTGGTCTCCTTTTGTTCCAAATGGGTTCAAAGCAGTACTAACGGGGGCAACTGTAGTGTTCTTTTCTTATGTCGGATTTGATGCTGTTGCTAATTCTGCTGAAGAATCGAAGAGACCTCAGGTTTCCCCATCTAAAACACCTTGTCTATTCTCACTTGCTTATTTACTGCATTTTTTTTGTTGTGGTTCTGAGTCTTTTTCCTACCGTCTTTTCACATTCAGCGAGATTTGCCGATTGGAATTTTGGGCAGCCTTCTGATATGTATTGCATTGTACATTGGTGTCTGCTTAGTGCTCACCGGGATGGTCCCTTTCAGTCTCCTCAGCGAAGATGCTCCTTTGGCCGAAGCTTTTACATCAAAGGGTATGAAGGTTGTCTCAGTTTTAATCAGCATAGGTGCTGTCGCTGGGCTAACAACCACACTTCTGGTCGGTCTTTATGTTCAGGTGACTATTTAGGTATCTGGAGTTGTTTTCATAATCTTCACTTGTTGTGAAGTCTAAATTATTTTCTGTGGGCTCACCTGATATTTCCCACAAGCAGTCCAGGTTATATCTGGGACTTGGAAGGGATGGGCTATTACCTTCAATCTTTTCCAGAGTACACCCAACTCTTCACACACCCGTTCATTCTCAAATCTGGTGTGGCATTGTTGCTGGCATTCTAGCTGGCATATTCAATGTGCATAGTCTTTCACACATTCTGTCCGTTGGTACATTGGTAGGTCAAGACCTTGAATTTTCTATCCCCTTTGGTTTCCTGATCAATGTTTTTATCTGGTTCAATTAACATGATTTTCTATATTATATTGTTTCAGACAGGGTATTCGGTTGTTGCAGCTTGTGTTGTTGCCTTGAGATTGAATGATAAGGGAGGGAGTCATGTTTCATCCGGATGGATGTCAAGTTGGCAGGAAGGCATCATTTGCCTCCTTGTAACTGCGTGCAGTGGTTTTGCTGCTGGTGTGTGCTACCGTTTCAGTGCTTCAGTCATTTTTCTTTTCCTCTCAGTTGGTATGGCAATTATTGCTTCTGCCATTCTCCATTATCGCAAAGTAAGTAACCCTCCTGCTTTTGCAAATCCTATTAATCCCATAATGCCAATGTGTTTCAAATGCAGGACTTCTGATAATGTTGGAAATCCAGATACTTCTTTTAACCGAGAAAAAGAAGTATTTGGCTAATAATACTATGTTGAATAGAAATACTCTATATGTTCTAGGCACTTTAAACTCCACGGGTACTTGCTGAGTTTTACTTGTGATGACCATATGAATATTCATCTGTTTGAATCAAACGTTGGTCTTGATTTGGATGGAGGGGAATTTTGCTTGGCAGCAATTAGAATAATGGACAGGATGAAATGTTTGAAAACAATGTAAGTGCAATTGAATGTTGTGAATAGGCTCGTAACAGAGATTCACTTGCAGGCATATGGTCAGTCTCCAGGCTCTGGGTTCTGCTGTCCGGGTGTACCCGTCGTTCCATGCGTTTGCATTTTCTTCAACATCTTCTTATTTGCTCAGGTACTATGAACAACAGCTCCCTTGGTCTCTACAAAAAAAAAAAAAGTCACAATCTAATTATCCTACTGTGTCCTTGCAGTTGCATTACGAAGCGTGGATACGATTTCTTGTCGTAAGCGTTATTGCAACTGCAGTTTATGCATTGTACGGACAGTACCATGCAGATCCCAGCTCAAATGCGACGACGTTGATTTATCAAAGGGCACCCCAAACTGAATCTCCGTGACATTTCAAGTACATATCTTGACGTTGTTTGTTCATAGTGTATCCGATGTACGAGCAATAACGACGACGATTCAGTATACATTACCTCGATGTAAATGAATTTATCCTAAAGATGCCCTTTGTCCGATCTCATGGGAATGAGACACTGATCTTGACACGCCAAAGGCCATCTGAGATACAGCTCGGCCATTGGGCACGTACCCATCCAGGGCTGACTACCACTGGCCCACCATCAAAAGCTGGCTTCTAACCCATCAATCTAATGTTTGGTTACCTAAACCACCACGCACGTCATCAACTTGTGGGTGCATGGTGGTTATATCTGATATGGAATTATGAAAGATGGTGATTTACCTCATGAACACCATTGAAGTTCGGACTGAGAGAACACTGTATATCAATGTTGGGGGTAGAAACAGTGGCTAAGGATCCATTCTGATTTCCATTTTCTCCCTTCTAATCGATAAATGTTATAGTATTACCATTATAATATAAACATCCATTCCAGACTACGTGTCGTTTACGTCCCGTACAAACGTCACTCTTTTCCTTTCCTTAATGATGAAACGCCCTCACAAGAAACTCTTTTCCCCCGAGAAAAAATGCCGTATATTTTCCTGGAAAATCTCTGATCAGATTCATGTTGGACGGAGAGAGATCCAATGGCGGGGGCGGGAGAATTTGTTGAAGCGGATAATGCAGAGGCTATAATTGCGAGGATCGAAACCAAATCCCGGAAGATTGAGAGCTTACTCAAACAGTATTATCGCTCACTAAACCCTAAAGTTTGTTTTCCTTGCAAGGTTTGGTTTCGTTCAGAGACCTCCAAAAGCTTGTTCTTTCCTCTGTTTGTGCAGGTACAAACATGTCGAAGCTCTGAAAACGGCTCTCGAAGGCTCGCCTCCGAAAACTCTCGACGAACGCTGCAAGGTCCTTGTTTGTTCTTCATCGTTTTTCACTCTCTCTATTCCCGACTAAGAAAGGAGAGGAAAAGTATCATTTCTGATAGATTCGTCGTTTTGAACTGGGAATAATTGCAGTCGGCTAATTGGATAGTTGTACACAGAGCAATAATGGCGATAAAGGACATAGAAGGAATGCTCAATGCTCTTGATCGCGAGTATTACGACATTCTCATGAAGTAAGTATATTGCTTCCTATCCTACACCCACTTGTGTGATACTGTAGTATGATTTACTCATTAAATACCCATACTTTCCGAAGAGAGAAAGAATCAGTACCCAATATCTAAGCACCATTTTGTCTATATTTTCTGACCTACGGCATGTAACCTATAAGGTATTCCAAATTCTGCGTCAAGAGATTTCGAATTTTTACCGGTCTTTGTAATGCGAATGGTGTGAGGTTAGGCAATTTCCCATGCTTCCCTTTCTTTTCAAATGGATGTGACGCTTTCTGTGTGTTTACTTCCAAAGTGGGAAAGTGGAGTGTTATACGATCCTCTTCCTCTAGGTGGTTTGTGTGAGAGCAGTATAGGTATCTCGCCCTACTCTAGGTCCTTTGAGATATTTGGATTTTTTTGTTTGAGTCACGTTGGACAAGTTTTTTATTGGTGAACAGTATACGTGGTTAGGTTTGGTGAATGCTGCGCTGACGTATAGCTTGGTAGTTCTATCTTTCCAGATTTATGTGGATGTGATTGTGGGGTTGTGTACTGTTTAATGCGAATGGTGTTGGGGGATCTGAAAAACACTGATTGAGGATGTTCTTGGGGTAACATGGTTGAAGAGAACATGTTAGGATACGATTAACTGGAAAGCTGTATGTATAGTTTGTCTTCCAGATTTTGCGTGTTTGCTTGTGTTGTTACCTTCAACCAAATGGCCTCTGTAAATCTGGGGAAGAAAAACTCCAGCAGAGGATGATCTTGGCGGTTAGCATGATTGAATACTCCTCTCTTTAATCTTGGCTTGGGCCAGTTTTTTGCTGTGAATAGCTGGAGTAAATTACTTGGTATTATCCATTCTGTTCATATCTATCAATTTGCGGCCTTTACAGTTTGTCTTGTCCTGTGTATGTGACTGATCTGACTATTTTCTTTCGCCATATTTTATCTAGTCTCTCTTCTCTCTTTTTTTTTTCATTTTTTTTATTGCTGTGGCATTCCGTTAGAATATTTTTTGCTCTTCTTTATGGTAACGAACAGTGTTGCTTCACCTGCAGGTACCTGTACAGAGGCCTCTCTACTGGGGACCGTCCGACATGTGACCAGTGTCTGCGCATCCACGAGAAACTGACGGAGAGGGCTGGTCTCGGTTGCATTCTGCGTTCTATTTCCGATACTCTGAACACTGTCTAGTTCTATCATTTGTAATGCTCCAAGTGTATTATTCTTCACACGATCTCTGACTGTGCCGAGAAGATGTGATCGTCTGAAACAACACTTGCTTTGATTATAAACGGAAACACACCCCTTGTCCCTTCTGTTTTCGTGTCCAGAAAAGTGCATCAATACCAATATCATCATCATCACCTGATCGGCCGCATAGATTCTTTGTTTTCATTCATTTCGGTTTAGAAAAGTGAATCAATATCTAACATTTTGTTTCCCAACAGAGAAAACTCAAATAGGAGCAGCAAGAGTGCTTGTTTGGGCAAACAAGGTCTGCAGTACACGTGATCCAACAGCGAGTTAACAAGCATGGGAAAATTCGGTTTAAATTCTACGCACTGATGCAACTCCATCTGCTCATGTTAACAGGCAACGACAGCTTTTTGCTCAAGTCTGGAAACAAAAACCGTTTCTGGATTATTATGCAAATGAATCAAGTGTCACAAAAACGTGAATTTCCATAAATAAATGTGCCAGGCATTTTCCTCAGGGGAAGGGGGGTGTACCTAATTTTCCATGGACACGAAACAAAACAACTATTGTTTGTTTCCCATTCTTTCTCAAGACTAAGAAACAAAAAATGGATTCTATCTTATCAAAGACGTTTTCGCCTAAGCGGGCAAATAAGATTCCAGCATAAGTCGGGATGGCGTAGGCGATGTAATCTCCACGATCAGGTAAGTGTACTTCCATTGGTTGTCTTCTTTGTCTTTAAACATCTCCGTGTACACTTTCCCCGCTCCTTGTGGCCCCCGGATGTAGAAATTTATCTGACCAAGAAACACATCCCCGCATTTAGAAATAACACCCCAATTCTACTTTCTTCTGATTCTCTGTTTTGCTGTTAGCTTGTAAATCAGTCCTATGTTTTTTTTTCTAGACTTCTATATATACACTTCATGTTGATCCGTGAAATGTATTGTGCGGGAAACAGGCTTGTAACATGAGCTACCTACCTCAACATGCTCTACACCATCCTCATCTGTGTAAACTCTATTGGGTATGCGCTGACGAGCAGCTCGGTTCCTGCTTTCTTGTCCATAACCTTTGATGGGGGACCCAATCCTTACCCTTACCTGGTAAAAAATAAACTCGCAACCACATATCTCAGCTTCATTTGTATTGTAATCAGATGGTCAGAGTTATGCGCAACTGAAAGAAGTTAGTTTCTCGCTTACCTGACTATCATCTTGAATTCTCTTCAAGGCTTTGTCAAAAATCTTGTACCTGCAAGAAAGAGCAGCTTTTTACGTAGATGATTTGAGCTCAATATGTCAGATCAAGAAAAGAAGAGAAGCCAAACTAGAGGCTCTGAGTCTCACTCTTTCGGTTGAAATAAGAGCTCTTTGAACACAGCATACCCAGCAGCTCCAGCAACTCCAAGCCCAGCAAGAATAACAAGGCTGTAGGAAGCCCCTTCAGTAAATGTCACCGGCTTCTCTGGGATGTGGTATGTAGGAGAATGAAAAGGATCCTCTACCGTTGTCACATCCTTCTTAGCCTGTCATGGTCAAAAGATGTAAAAAGCCATCAAATATAATCAAGCCCTTCAATTGAAGAATTATATGCATGATGTTTCTCTGCCAGTTTCATGACAAACAAAGCCGGAGCAGGCAGAAGTAGAAGAGGAGAGAGAGTTTTCGTCTGAAAGAAACGTTAAGATATGAAGCAAGAGACGTAACCTATCCCTTGGATCATTAAGGTAAAGGCAACCCCTGACTAGCATTTGTGTCAGGACACTGTTATGTGCATTTGAATGGATGGTTTTGTGGGCGTTTGCCTGTGACAGTGTGCCATTAAACACATGATTTTGGTATTGTTTCCAATGTTGTGCAACGCCAACAAGAAAGCCAGCCATTCAGCGCCCAACTCGTTGAGACATAGAAGTAAAACATAGAAAGAAGCATCGCTAATGACATGGAGAGTACCAAGTTGAAAGCCAAAACCACATTTATATTTAATCCAAACCTTATCACGCGGCTGCTTTGATTCTTTTGAAGCTCGTGACGTAAAAGATCTGGAAAAGCAAGGTGATTTTATGTGCTTCCAATGAGTTTCCATACATCTTGCTTGTGGTTTTCCGAAAACAAATAATGACCCTGCCAACACGTAGTCATCAGAAAAGCATGCCCAAACACACAAAAGAATGGGTTTGAAATTTCCACTGCATGTAATTTTCACTGACCATTAGCTCCATTCGCATCCTGCATAACAAAATAAGCAAAACTATCAAACAAAAGTAGTACGGTAAAAGGTGCGAGTGGCAGAAGAAAAATACTCTCACCAGACACATGAGACCAGAATCAATGACAGATGTTTTTTTTAATCCTGGATTTAAAGCACCTATCAACTGCATCAGAACAACGAACCAAGCCAGGGAAGCGAGAAAAAGAAACAAACTATTTTCTCGTGGGAGATCATAGAATACAAATAACAGCATTTTGCAAAGTGATGCGTGATGACTGAATAATCTTCGACTAAAGTGTTAAGAATTTAGAATAACAATCAAACAGTAGAACAATAATAATAATAATAATCGACTTGATCAGCGCAAGAAACCAGTTATCCAAAGATACGCCCAATTCCAAACAGGACATTTTAATGCGACCACATCGATTCCAAAGCTCTGAGCTAAGAACAAAAGGAAGAATAGAAAATCCAACTTTTCTCGTCAAAAGTTAGAACCCCAACAGAAAACATCAATGTTCTCGTATCTCTAATGATAGCCATAGCTTCCACAGACAAGACAAGAGTCGTTGGAACTAAGCTAAAGTAGAGATATGCAGTATCACAAGTAGTCCCCTGCATCTCACAGGATAGTGATCCCTCCAAAGAAAATGCTGAACTTGGGAAAAGGAGTGAGTACACACTACATACGAGCCTGCAAAACCCTAGTCTACGCAAACAAGGCGAGCGGAGAAAGCTAGTCATCAACAAATTCGGGCGGGCATAAAGAGAAAAACAAAAGGCAAGAGAGAATTACAGCCGAGTTCCGGATTCCAGCAGCGGATGGAAAGAGGAGAGTCGAAACCAGTTTAGAGCCGTTGCTGATGGATATCGCTGATCTCCTGACAAGGTTCATCATCTCTGGTCGGATCTAAGGAAAAAATTATCTGGAAAAGAAAAAAGGAAAAACTTTAAGAAAGATTTAGGATGGGATTCAGCACTCTATGCAAATTTTATGGGGAGAGGGACATATGCGCCGAAGGACGACGGTGAAGAGCGAGAAGAGAAGACTCTCGGGGGGGGG